ATCGTTTCCGTTTTTTCGCTCTTTACTACCACCCTACCTCTCGAGGGACGTGCACATGATATCGCATAATTCCCGTACCTAGTGAATATAATTTATTACTCAACGATCATCTCCGCTCGACAGTCGATCACTGGTTAAGCCAACGGAATGAGGATGTTTCCCTCTTTCCTTTCCTCCCTTTATTATATGTGCACATAGTGCCTGTCGTATGCTAACAGGTTCCATGCGATTCGAGAAATTGACATGAAATATATTTGAATCCTAGATAATCAAACGTATCTCAGTAAAATCGCATATATAAATCCATGATTACCTATGATGTTGTATGAGCTTGTCGAGTACCTGTCTTCAATGATTTCAAGTATATCGAAGCAATACTCAGGCTATGCATATATGTATTGCCAGTAGTTTTATGACAATGTAGCAGTATCAAGGATACCTCCCGTCGACAATATATCAGCATTTTATGATACTATAGATTATCATGGCAACATGATGACAACACAACAAATTTTGATGATTTTAAAGTTGTCGGAAAATTGCTCAAAAGTTGTTACTCAAAGTTGTCATATCGTGAAGATATCAACTTGCCAACAAATGCCGACTTAGTTGCTGCAATTCTGGTAGAAACGGAAACATATACTACTTCTTTGCGAGCAACAAGACAAACACGTTGCTATTTGAAAAGTTATATGTGGAAATATTATTATTATAGAACAAAATATATAAAGTATAAATGATTAATATCATACGTATTTATTTGCATATAGAATTATTTATAAAAGACTACAAAGAATATTTCCTATTTCGTAATTTCTTGAAGAAAATGAATATTAAATTGTTCACAATAATGATTACAATAATAAGTTTGTGAGATTTTAGTAAATAGAATTTATGCAAAAAACCAAGAATAATAGCACTAATAACATGTGTAACAATATCTACATATTCAATGTTTATCTTGATGAATGAATTTCATTTACTCATATAAAACGTATGTGGTATTTACTTGGTCTTCACGAGAATAATAATGTCAGAAGCATTCGGCTTAATGAGCTCTCTACAATATAATAAGACATTACTTAAGTTTAAGTTTTAAACCATGAGAAATTGAGCAATTACAGTCAAATTTGAGAAGAATAACCATGATTGATTAATTTCTTACAGCTTAAGACTTAAAGCTTGAGTAATAGCTTATTGTAGAAAACCCATATATAAAGATAGTATAACACATTAAGCGGCGTCTATAATAAAATTTTAAAGCGTAAAACTGAAGCTAAAATCTTATGCTGAGTCGATAGTCGTAATTTTAAATTTTATTAGTGAATCGAAGTTGGTCAACAGTCAATTTGTACTGCAACTGATCGATTTTCTTGGCCAAATTCGACTTTATTCCTTCCAATTAGTTGAACTAAACGATTCGCTGTACAATTAACAAGTAGATACGAAAAATCATAGTCACCTATTTAGGTTAATAGGCTTTCTACAATAAGTCATTAAGTTTCAAGTCACCTAAGCTTCAAGTCTTAAACCATAAGAAATTGATCAATCATAGTAAATTATTATTATTTTCACATTCAACTGTAATTGATCAATTTCTTACGGTTTAAGACTTAAGCTTAAGTAATGATTTATTGTAGAAAGCCTAGGTTAAGAATGGTTAAGACTTTGATTGCCAACTATCGACTCATTTAGAGTCAGCTTTAAGGCTCAGTTGCACTAACATTGACTTCAAGCGAGAAAGACTCTAATCTCGTTTTAAAGTCAAAAAGAGACAGAGACAGAGTTTTAAGCCTCGCTTAAAATCAAAATAACGTTGGTGCAATCAGGCCTAAGAGGCGTAAGAAATTGATCAATCACAGCTAATTATTTTCCTCAAATTCGACTGTGATTAGACAATTTTTTACGGTGTAAAACTTAAAGCTTCAGTTTTACTTCTTAAAATTCATTATAGATGCTTTAATAAACTATAATGGTGATCTCGTAATGGCGAGGCTTTCTAATAACGACATTATCTGATGCTCACTTTAGATCAGATTTCGAATCGCGCTCCAATTATTTTAAGCGCGGGAGAGAAACCTGCTGCACGGCCAAAACTCAACAGTGGCATGATGACAACTGAAAAACGTTCAATAGGGAAAGTACAGAAGAAAAAACGGGAAGTGGGGGAAGGAAAGGGCAAAAGGTAACGGGGTTAAGTATCCTACCTGTGGATTGTGATGTTCCGGGGCTCTGGGGAAGCCGCTGCGCGGCCGCGACAGTCGGCCAGGGGAGTGGGGGCCTTGAAAAGGTCGCCGAACGATAGGTGATGGCTGTAATCGCGGCAAGCCCAGGTGTATCCTCCGCGCTCGTCACTACCCTCCTTCGTAGTTAAACGTTGTCGTCTACTGGCATCGCCGCCGCCATCGGCCGTAGCACCACCACCACCGCCACCCTCGGAGAGATGACGGGTCAAGGGTCGCCGCATATCTCATTCAGGTCGCGCGACTAACTAAACCGACTGGACTCGACTCTTCGCGCAGCTAGCGCGAAGTCCGCCGTTGCTCGTCGCCGCAATTCGTGCCGCCCGGGCGTCACATCCAACGACCGTTCGTCTGCTTTTGCGTGCGCGCGCGTGTACATGCGCACGCGCGAACACGAATCTACGTTCTACAAAACGAAGATAATCAAGTGGTCTGTTCCGTTTAGCTGAATTTCTCTTGCAAAATTCATCTTTTTTCCTTTTACATTGGGGCGTAAAAGAGAAAAGTTGCACGCAAAGAAATTCGACTAAAAAAGAATAAAGCTAATTATTCTTTCTACAATAAGCGTTACTTGAGCTTTAAAGGGTCCTCTATAGAAGTCGTAGGCGGTCGTGGAGTTCTTAAGTTCATAGGAAACCAACTAATCACAATCAAATATAAAGAGAATACTCGATTAGAATTGATCAGTTTCCTATGACTTAAGACTCCACGACCGTCTACGACTTTTATGTAGAGGACCCTTAAGTTTTAAGCCGTAAGAAATTGACCATAGTCGATTATTTTTCTCACATTCGACTGTGATTTGTCAATTTCTTACATCTTAAGACTAAAAGCTTATTGTAGCAAGTCCATAAAAGGAGAGTGGAGCGAATATCCTCTACTTTGATTGATTCTGCTTAAGTTACTTCTGCAAATATGTATAATGTGTATGTATAAGTACATATATACATATATAAAACCGGTATTCATAATCTTATATTTAAGACCGTCTTAAATGTACTCTTAAGATGTCATGAATCAATCAGATAACCGGATTAGCATCTTAAGATGTTATACAGCATACATACAGCACAGAATTTGCAGCAATATCGCTGCAATAATGCTATAATATTGCTGCAACTTTTGTGCTGTAGAGATACTTAAAACAGTCTTAAAATAAGAATGGACTACGAATATTCCTAATTCTCTTTACCTTAACTGTGTTTTGATACTTTCGATATACATTGCCGGTATTAAAAATTTGTATGAATATACTCAACGTAAATTATAAATGTTCAGTGCTAGCAGTTGTATCATATATCGAAACATGACCTAAATGTAGCGGGATCTGAAACTTAAAGAGGTTAAATGTTTTGCCCGTTACCAAAAGATTACCTAAAAATGACAGATTTTTAATGTATGAATCTCCACTCTCCCTTCATTATCTCTCTGCTACGAAAACGTTTATCGCCCCGCGATCCATGGAGCTCATTCATGAACGCTCACGAGCCCTTATTCGTAATACCGTTCGAAAAAACGTGTTATCGTGATACCAGGCGTTGAAAGAAACTGCAGTACATGTGCGCACGTGACCAACTATTTCACATGTTGTTTGTTCTACAACCCACTTTGGCCACACTCGGCTAACGTCCGACTGTTGCCTCCCCTTCCTCCTCCCCCTCACTTTTTAAAGCCGCGGCTGGCACCACCTACCTTTGCAGATAAGGCAGATCGCGCAACGTACCACAGTAGATCGATTAGAACAATTCATGGCTGATGATTCAAAGAAATGATTGCAGATAATAATTTCTAAAGTTGTAACGCTGTTACTTATTTTTTTTTTAGTAACGATAACTTCATTACATTTTTACAGTAATGCTAACGATTCAGTCGTTACTTTTATTTCATCGTTACTTTTATTTATATAATAAAAGTATTTATATAATAAATAATTATGAATTTAATAATGTATTATCCAAATATTTATGTTAATAATTGTAAATTTATATTAATTGTCGATAATGTTATTGTTCTTCAATTACTTCCGAGCCCTTGGGGTAAAAATGAGTGATACAGCGCCGCTATTTTAAATATCGATATTTTTCCCGATATTTTATACCGATATTTTATCTTTCTACATTAACATGCATCAACATTTGAATAGGAATACGAATTGAATTGAAACTCTCATTTATCGTACTAATTATATGTTACATTATAAAAATACAATGTTTACAATGTAAGATTAAAATCATACAAATGAATAATAAGTAAAATAAAAATATTAAATATGTAAGTATAATATGAAATCAAAAATAAATGTAAGTTTATACATATATCTATATTTTCCAATTAGTACTACATATAGAATATATCTACATATAGTGCTAATTGCAATAAACATAATAGATTAATCAAAAATCATGAATTCGATTGGGAGAATGTTCGAATTTTAGATAAGCCGTCATTTTAAAAGAATGATGTCTGAAATGATACATATAAAAAGAAAACGAACTTAACAAGCAAAGTGATAGAACATTTAGCGGATACATATTTTAGGCGAGCGATGTACCTTCATTTTCAATTCTAACCGACCAATAGTCGTTCCAGCAGCTGGAAAAAAAAAACATATATATATATATATATATATATATATATATATATATATATATATATACACATATACATTTTATTTTTTCATGAATCGTTGATTAATAACCATTGTATATATAACCATCCATATAATTGAATAACATATTTACATTATTAATGTGGGATAATTAATTCAAATATATAATAATAATAAAAATAAGAAAGAAAGATATTGAAATTAATGCAGAATGGCTGCTAATTTTAATTATCTTAATTTCTATTTAGTTATCATAAATGTTTGTTTTTTTTTATATATCATGTTTACTTCGTACATTCAACGAAATAAACTGTCAAAATATTTTGAAGAGGAAAAGCAAGGAGTCATGACAGATTAAAGCAAATATTTAATTTATTTGTGAATCTGCGCAATCGTAAAATATATCCATATAATGATCAACGAGATATAACATCAATAGAGCTCGGCGCTGAACGTGACGAGACAATCAACATGTGGGAAGTGATTTCGTACATAATCACGGATAACCTTGAAGAAAATCGCGTGACTTTCTCGCAATTTTTCTCGGGGGCGCACCTTCTTAATCGGGTCTCATCATTTTTCTTCTCGTGATAAAAAGCACGACGCCTCGCTGCAGGAAGAAGAGAGAGAAAAAAAAATGATACGTTGCTTTCTCGTCATTTATATGTTTAATATATGAAAATAGAATCCACGGTGCGCAACGGGATACGCCAATATCATCGATCGAGTAAAGGGACGAGAAGAAGACAGGAAGAAATTAAAGAAAATATCACAAAGGATTGCGGATTAAGATAAAACTCAGCTTCACGGAGTGAAGTAATCGCGACGCCATGTTGTAACATTTATAATCCGACTACGAGTCATATCACTGTTGGCAGACGCATATTCGACATACCCAATTAATCACGACGTACGTTAATCCGAAATGGATGGAGCCCTTAATTTTCTCTAAACGACGAATCTCGTCTGCGACTTCGTCGAGGCTCGTGCTACGTAAAGATCGATCGACGGATTGATCGGTTAATTGCGAGTGAGTTTCGCGAATAACGTCGTGATTGTTATGTCCAATCTATCGAAGCCTGTGATAATTATTTGTAAGAGCCATGGCACAATGTAAAACGTAAATAATAAGGAATCATTAGGCGCCTTCAAACCAGACAAAGCTACTAGCCTACTCGCCAAGCGATTGAATGTGATTGGTTGGATCTATAAGTAACAATCAATTATGGTGGAAGAATTACAGATGAAATAGCGCATAATAATTCACAGCAATCGGTTAGCAAATCAAATTCTGTCCTAAACAGCGCGATATTCAAGTACATACAATGTTAATCAGTGTATGATAAGTGTTTAAAAGCATAAATTTTGTTACATTGCTTTTTGCATTCTTAGGACAGATTCTGATTGGCTGTAACTAAATCGGCTACTGCATCCCTCAAGTTATTTCACCTTCATCCACCATGCAATCAATCATGTTTATTTGCTCGAGCAAGTTAATCGCTTCGTTGACTTGAACGCGCACGTTCAATATGTTGGATTTGCTATTGTATACGTTTTACAAATTTTTCTGTGTGCTACGGTCCTAAGACAATTTTCTTCCACAATTCATTCCTAAAATCATACGCAAATTACTACGTAATTCTTCAGGTGATTCAGCCTGCGCTGGCTCGATATATACGCGAAACATACACGTTATTCGCAGAACACGCACGCATATCTGTTTTTACTTTTGTGTGCGGAGCCGCACCCACTTTCGTAGAAGGGAAGCGAACAGATCAGTATAATGACTGCTAATTATGCATATTTGCATTCCATGAGTAAGACAAATCAAGAATCTCACGCGAAATGAGAGAGTTGGACAGAATAATAACTGATGTTAGTTAAATCAAAGCGCATATACAAGGTCTTGAAAAAGTCTGGAAACGCTAATTATATCGAAAACAAAGCATTTTTCACTATTGATCACTTTGGACTCTACCCAGGATCAAACGAATGTGATCAGTAAATAGACCTTTTTAAATCTTACAACTTCTGTTTGAAACATTTTTCTGAAAAATATCTTATTTTCGACATATTTTAGCATTTCCGGACTTTTTAAAGATCCTGTATATAAAAATGAACTGTCTTACAAGAAATATCATAAATAAATTGTCTATAAGAAAATGCAACGGAGAGTATTTTAATGTAATGCTACAAATGCCTTGAAACATTCCTTGATTCAATTTGTAAAATTCTTTCTTCTGATCAATTAAATACTTCAAAGCATTTGTAGTGAAACTTTGACCCAAAAAGGAATTCATCTTTGTCTTTTTGCGTTGTAAGGCAAATGATACAGTGCGGGCGCGGCTCGATCTACTAAAGTCATTAAATTTATAAAGTACCTCAAACCTCTACCATTTTGAAGCAAAGACGCGACCATCGCAAGCAAACTTATGTATTTGTAAAGCTGTAAATTATGTAAATCAATTTTTTTATTTGTTATCAGTTTATTTATGTATGAACAAAGAAATATTCTTCTGCTTAATTTATGTATTCTTTAGTTTAATCCGGGTTTAATTATCGTTGAGATTTCAGTGCAAGAAAAGTGTAAGTATAATACAATTCAAATTCAGAAGATGAAACAAATTAACACATGTGACGATCGAAAAAGAAAGTAAATGTTATAAGAGCTAAACGTTTAATTTGACAAAAAATGTATAGAAAATTTTGCACAAATTAAGACATCTAATATGTAGATGAAATAATATATTGTGTACATTATCCGCCATTTTTACGCAAAAATGCTTCAAAAGTGGATGCCGTTGCGATACTTAATAAATCTGTGATCTCTTTACAATCTACATCTCAACAACGTTTGTACACGGCGAATCGCAACTTGGCGATTCATCTTCGCGTATTCGAACTATGATCGAGCTACGACATTGGCCGTGTGTCCCTACAACTCGGCCGTGCATAAATACATGTATATAATACATATATGATATACATACATATACATATATATATATATATATATATAT